GGAACCGACCCGATGGCACTTAACAACAACATTCCACTCCACAATCTCTGTTCAGGCCTTTTTTCTAGTTATAAACAGTTCAGGGCTGGCTGTGGTTTTAAGTGGAAACTGTCTCTTTAAATTTTGAGGAGATCTGTGCGCATGTGTAGTAGAACCCTCTGAGGGTGGGGCTGGGGTGTCCATTCACTCAGGCACCCCTATAGTTACCAGAATGGAGGTACACAGACAGTGAGGGACCAATGAACAGATACCAAAAATAAAAGAATCTCCACACCTTTATCTATACAGTTCTGTCAGCCACCCGTGGCTGCTGTGATCCTTTCCCTGTTTAGTCTCACCCAAGTTGGTGACTCTGGGAGCAGCTGAGCTTTTTGAATTAGAAAGCAATGGATTTCTTGCTTCTGCTACAAATCCCTCTAGCCATAAGCCTTCCAACCTTCTAAATATTCCTTTATTTGTGGTTCAGAGTTCTGGCACCATCCTCTAAGCCTGTTTGGTCTGATATTCTGTGTTGTTACTGACGTTGCTCTTCACTGCACTTCCACCTGATCTGCCATCTTGTTTGTTCTCCTGTGTGTCTTAGAGTTTTCAATGGTTTTTAAAAACAAAATAAAAAAGTTTTCCAGGTCTTTCTTCTGAGGTGCCACTGAGCATATTCAAAACTCCAAACTTAAGATTAGCAGACGAACTCATTAACCATTGGCACTACTCAGGGACTCCATATAATTAGAAAATATACACAAAGCCAATCATTTCAGGAAGTGAATTTTATTTGTTTCCCATGGAGTAAATTATCACAGACTGGGTGATTTAAAAGAACAGAAATGTATTCTCTCCCAGTTCTGGAGACCAGAAGTCTGAAACAAAGGTGTCAGCTGTGTAACACTCCCTCTCGAGGCTCTGAGGGAAAATCCTTCCTGGCCTCTTGCAGCCCTGGTGGCTCTTGGCATTTCTTGGTTTGTGACCACGTCATTCTAATCCCTGCCCCCATCTTCATGTTGTCTCCTCTTCTCAGTGTCTCTCTTCATCTGTCTCTTCTAAGGACGCTTGTCATTGGATGGAGAGCCAACTTGGAGAACCTAGGATGGTCTAACCCCCAAGCCCCCATTTAAGTCAATCTCCATAGACCCTTTTTTCAAATATAATCACATTCAGAAGTACCAAGGGTTTGGACATGTACAAATCTTTTTGGGAACCACCACTGTTGCTGTTAGGTGCCATTAAGTTGGTGCTGACTCACAGTGACCCAACACACAATAGAAGAAACATTGTACAGTTCAGTGTCACTCTCGTAATTGTTATGTTTGAGCCCATTGTTACAGCCACCGTGTCAATTCAGCTCAGTGACGGGCTTCTTGTTTTCATTGATCCTCTACTTTACCAAGCATGATGTCCTTTTGCAGGGAGTGGACCCTCCTGATAACACATACAAAACATGTGAGATGCATTCTCACCATCCTCCATCCTAAAGAGCATTTTGGCTGTATGCCTTCCAAGACAGATTTGCACTTTTAATAGTCTTCACCAATACCATAACTCAAGTGCATTAATTCTTCTGCAGCCTCCCTTAGTCATTGTTCAGCTTTCACATGATTAGAGATGACTGAAAATACCATGACTTGGTCTGGAATACCTTAGTCCTTAAAATGACATCTGAAAGGAGACAAGGACCTTTCTCCAGAGCTGACAAAGCCAGCTCCCCTCAAGCCAGCATTCTGAACTTGGAATTCTAAGAGAATTGAGTCCTGGTGTGGCACTGTGGGTTAATGCGCTGGGCTGCAAAGTCAGTTTGAACCACAAGGCCGGTGGTTCAAGGTCACCAGTCGGTCCTTGGAAACCCTATACAGAGTCTCTATGGGTCAGAACCGACTCCATACACTTAACAACAGCCCAACTGTGAAGATAAATCTCTGTTGGTTAAAGTCATCCACTGTGGTACTTCTGGTAATGCAGCACTAGATCACTAATCACTAAAACACCAGATCATAGCAGTGGAGAAAAGATGGAGGTTATCAATGACTTCATTTTGCTCAGATCAACCATCAATACTCATGGAAGAGGCAGTCAAGAAATCAAACGACGTATTGAACTAAGAAAATCTGCTGCACAAGACCTCTTTAATGTGTTCAAGTGCAAAGGTATCAATTTGAGGACTAAGGTCTGCCATACTCAAGTCATGATATTTTCAATAACCTCATATGCATGTGCAAGTTGGACAGTGAATAAGGCCGACTGTAGAAGAATTGATGCATTTGAGTTATGGTGTTGGAGGAGAATATTAAACATACTGTGGACTGCCAAAAGATCTGTGTTGGAAGAATTATAAGCTAGAGTGCTCCTTGGAAGCTAGGATGACCAGAGTTCATCTCTCATACTTCGGACATAATGTAAGAAGGCACCGGTCCCTGGAGAAGGATCTCTTGTTTGGTAAAGTGGAGGGTGAAGAAAAAGAGGAAGACCCCCAACAAGATGGATTGGCACAATGTTGGCAGCAATGGCCTAAGGCATAGCAATGCTTGTGAGGTTGGCCCAGGGCTGGGCGGTGTTTGGTTCTGTTGTACACAGGATCACTATGAGTCAGTACCAACTCACTGGTACCTAACAACAACAACAGGTCACTAAGACAGATACCAAGCAATCAAGTATGTTATTGTAGGGAAAACACTCTACTGATTTTAGAGCATTTGGAACTTAAGACTTAAATCCAATTTGTTTTGTTTTTAATTGTAATAAATATCTCTCTCTATAAAAAATTTGCCATTTAAAATTTTTTATGTGTATAATCCAGTGACAGTAATTGCATTCATCATTTTGTTTAACCATATTATCCATTTTCAAATGTTTTCATTTATCCTTGACAGAACTTCAGTACCCTCTAAACAATGAGCTCCTCTTGCTTCCTCACCCCTTGTTGTTGTTGTTGTTAAGTGCCATCGAGTCGGTTCCGACCCATAGCGACCCTGTATAGGGTTTCCGAGGGTGTAAGCTTTGCTCTCTACATATCCATCTATTTCAGGTATTTCAGATAAGAAGGATCATGTAATATTTGTCCTTTTGTGACTCGTTATTTCATTTAATATGTTTTCAAGGATCATCCATGTCATAGCATGTATCCAAACTTCATTCCTCTTGGATGAGCAGTATTCTAGTGTACGTATGTACCACATTTTGTTTATCCATTCATCTGTTGTTCAGGGTGTTGTCCAACTACAATTGTAATTGGAGGATGAGGAGTATGGTTCTGGAACCTCAAAAAGCAAACATCAGACCTGAGTGGGAAAACAAGAGGCACTGGAGCTCTTTACAAATCCTGTGTCGGCTGCTACTGTGGAACTCAGTAGAAAATCCTTAGCAGCTGGGTGCTGCAAACAGTTTGCACTCAGCTACTAACCAACAAAAGGAGCCCTGGTGGTGCAGTAGGTAAAGCCCTTGCTTACTAACTGGAAGATCAGCAGTTCAAACCCACCAGCCACTCTGCAGGAGAAAGACGTAGCAACCTTAGAAACTCCATGGAGCAGTTCTATTCTGTCCTATTGCATTGCTATGAGTCGAACGGAGGAATTGGCTAGATGACAATGTTGTTGTTGTGTGCCATTGAGTGTTCTGACCAATAGTGACCCTGTATACAGTTTCCAAGGAGTGGCTGGTGAGCTTGAACTGCCGACCTTGCGGATTAAACTGACTTTTGCAGTCCAGTGCATTAACCCACAGCGCCACACCAGAACTCCAAGACAATAGGTATTACTTAACAGGTTGGAGGCTTGAACCTCCCCTGCCCCCAGCAACACAGAGGAAGAAATGTCTGGTGATCTGCTTCCATAAAGACAAGAAAATTCTTATGGAGCTCAGTTCTACTCTGCAATACACTGGGTTGTCATGAGTTAGAGTCAACTGATGCCAACAAGTTTGTTTAGTTTTTTTTAAAGCAGCAAATATTTGACTGGCTGTAGAGGTTATTTTCCTTTGCAAAGGGAACATTATGTGTTTTGATTAGAGAAAGAAAAGAAGGTCGCTATGGATCTGAAGGGACTTCAGTACCCAACAACATGGAAAGTCAAGAGGTCATGCCTTGGTACACGCAGATTCACACCCAGTCAACCAGTCACTTTACCCCTTTTCACTCTCTGTCCTCCATTTCCTCATCTATAAAATGGCACCTAATTGGAGTCTTGGTGTGGTGTCATAGGTAAGCACTGGACTGCTAACCACAGGTTGGTAGTTCAAACCCACCAGCCACTCTTTGGAAAACCTATACAGGGTCACTATGATTTGGATTGGAGCTGACTCCATGGTACCTAACAACAACAACAGCACCTAATTAACAAGTTGTTTTTAAGATGTAATGTTGTATATTGTTGTTGTTAAGTGCCGTTGAGTGGGTTCCGACCCACAGTGACCCTATACTGGGTTTCCGAGGCTGCAAATCTTTACGGGAGCAGATGCCTCATCTTTCTCCCACTGAGCAGCTGGTAGTTTCGAACTGCTGACCTTGTGGTTCACAGCCCGATTCGTAACCACTACGTTCCTTGTAATGTTGTATATGTCAGCTATTATTATTGTAATTTGAAGAAGACAACGAAAAATCTTTCTTAAAAAGGAAGAATATGTTTATTTCTCCCCCTTCCCATTAAAAATACATCTTGATTATTAGTGGCATGATTGTGATAGCATTTGGATTGGGCAACAGACGGCATTACATAGCATTTTACCATCATGGTAAAAATACCTATGCATTTCATTTCTGCTGTCTGAGAACGTATGATGCCCAATCAGGACTGAGTAGTGCAGCACCAGCTTGGTCCAGATAAAAGGCAATTCTTTTCAAAGCGGGCAAAGCCAGCGCTTCATTGGGCAGCATGTTTCTTAAATATCTCCAAGAACTCGGCCACATCGTCAGGGGAACCCAAGATGACTGGCGCCCTCTGGTGGATATCAGTGGGAACAATATCCAATAGAGCTTCCTTCCCGGTAGTGGCCAATCCTCCTGCCTTCTCCATGACATAGGCCATTGGGTTACACTCATATAGAAGTCTCAGCTGGAAAACAAGATCAGAGGGCAGCATTCATATTCTAGCAGGTACTACATAGAGACGGGACTTGTAAATAGCAAAAGAGCACAGAGCTCATGGGAGTTTTCAAGGTAGCTCATGCTCTCCCTTTCCTTCTATAAGGTCTCCAAAGTACCCCTCAAGATGGCATCTGAGACCAAAGGGTTAATCCAATACTCATCAAGCTAGAGCCAGCAGGAGAGAACCTGGTCACCTGGACTCAGGGATTGCTTGGCATTTTGGCAGAATCGATGGTCCCTTCTCCTTATGGCCCAGACTGGACTTAATGAGTGATTCTGGGTGGGTTTGATGGAGCATTGCCTATTCTAAAAGCATACAATAATCCATGGTGGTGTCTGGCTGTAGACATCTGGAGAGCAGACTAGCTTCTCTATGCAGTATACTGTTTGCAACTCTGCAGACATTCCACTGACCAGTTCCTCAGGCTTGCGGGTTGAGATAGAGTGTATTATACATCTTGGCATTTACTTTCAAATATTAACTTCTTGATCATATGCCTTTCCAAGCAGTCTGCCTGTTGAGCAGAGAGCTTTGTGCAGGTGTTTCCATACAGGTGTGATCGCTAGACTTGCAAAGCGGAAAAGGAGAACTTTGGTTATTTGTGTTAAGCAACAGTGTTTTTGAAGTACTGTACAGCAGACAGCCATATACGCTGGCTTTTCCTGAGGTAGCTATGGGACCAATTAATATTTCTAACTATCATAAGGGATCTGAGTCCCTGGGTAGTGAGTGACAAGGGCTGACGTGTTAGATTGCTAATCTGATTCAGTCCAACAAAAGGCACCTCAGAAGAAAGTCCTGGCGAACTACTTTCAAGAAAGCAGCTGCTGGAAACTGAAGAAACCGTTCTACTCTGACACACCTGGAGTTGCTATGAGTTGGAGTCGGCTGGGGAGCCACTGGGACCAAAAGGGAATTTTTAGTTTTTACTCAGTCTCTTACATTTTAAAAAGAGCACAGTCTGTCAATTGGGAAGCAAGCATTCCACAATCACCCCGTGGAGAAGAGAACCAGGGCATCTCTTGACCGTGATAAGAAAGCACAGCCCATGCTCAGCCTGGCTGGAAGCAACATGGGCATTAGGCCAGTGCAGTTAGAGATGCCAGCTTACCTCAAAGTTCACAGATTGGCTCCTTCCTAGAAAGGTGTCATTTTCCAAACAGCAAATGTCAGTTCATTAGTTATTCCTGTTTTATGCCTTTTAAAGGCGATCAAAGGAAACCTCTATTTGGAATACATGTTTGATTTGCTGTCTTGGTTATAAGACTGGACTATAGCATTTCACTTTATGAGTGGAATTCACTTTACCCAAACCAAACCATGTACCAGTGGAAACACTAAGCACTGAGTCCCCTTCCCAACATTATTAATCAATGCAAGGGTTCTCGAGAGGCCTTATTTAGTTGCCTTTAACATGAACAACCTTTAATCTAGAAAAGAATGTGCCACAGACACCCTTAGCAACATATTATAGAGTTCAGCTGTTACCATATCCTTTTTCTTTTCCTTAATCAAATCCCTCAGGCCAAAAATTAAACCCACTGCTTTTCAACCAGATTTCAGGGGAGCATGGTTACCTTTCCTTTGGGGCTCTTCTTGTTAGCAGGGTACAAAAAGATGCCTCCATAGACCAGTGTGCGGTGAACATCAGCCACCATGGAGCCCACGTACCGGGCCCCATAGGGGGATGAATTCCCCTGCAAAGTGAAGACCAACAGTTAGGGTTGCAGAAAGAAAGAAAGGAAGATCTCTTTGAATTCCAATGCTTATTTCATTCCACAATCACTGCCAAGTACGTATAGTGTGTGTATTTGGGACTGTGCTAAGAAATGTGATGAAAATCTTGTTCCAAAGAAGCAGAGAGGGAAGGCTGGCTATAGCTCTCACACATAACTAACAGTAAAGCCACACTGCGAACAGAAGGCCTGAGGAGGTGGGTGATACTGGGTGTGGAGATGGCGCAGGCACCACTAGAATGGTGCCAGTTAGCAAAAGCCTGAAGGTTGGGAAGGATTTTGCTGTGGCAAGGAGTTAGGTAGGAGTTGTTGTAGTCAGCTGCCATTGAATCAACCCCTGACTCAGAGAACCCATGCACAATGGAATCGAACCATTGTGGCTCTAAAAGTTTTAAGTAACTGATTTTTTGGAAGTGAATTGCCAGGTCTTTCTTTCTAGTCTTAGTCTGGAAGCTCTGTTTGCAGCCTGTTCAGCAGCAGCAGCATGCAAGTCTCCATTGACAGATGGGTGGTGAGTGTGCATGAGATTCATTGGCCAGGAATCGATCCCAGGTCTCTTTCATGGAAGGCAAGAGCTCTACTACTGAGCCACCACACTCCCTTTCTGGATGGTATAAACAGCATACTCAGCCGCTAACCCAAAAGTTGGAGGTTTGAGTCTACCCAGAGGTATCTGAATGCCTGCTGAGCTGCTCCCCAAAACTAAGCCAGTGCTTATTGCTCTGGGTGAGAGAACCTGTGATCTGGACTCCAGAGATTAAAATGTTTTTTTGTTTTGTTTTTTGTTTTTCCGGCCAGTAACTCATCCATCCATCTGGTTGACTTTATCATCCTGATATTCTTCTGCTGAGAGAAAGTGGCAATGCCCCAAAGAGACAACTCCAATTTGACTTCTTCACGTAGTCATGAAGTTCCTAAGGATCATGGGGAGGCCTGTAGGATAAGCGCTGCACGATCAGCAGTGGATTAGTGGTTCTAATCTAGTAGCTGCTCCTTAGAGACCCAATACAGCATCGCTATGGGTCTGAACAGACTTGGTGGCACTTAACAAACAGGATCATAGAGTGAGGCAAATGAGAAATTCAATCTGCCTCTGTCCTAAGGCAGTCCTCTACAGAGCAAATGATGAACCAGGCACCAGATGCCTACAGAACGAATCACAAAAGTGGTCTCTAGGCTCCTTTTCTTGCTACAGGACCGACGCCCCCAGAGCTGCCCCTAATGTCAGGTTCCCAGACCCTGAAAGAAGGTTCTGTGCCCCTCACTTACCGGGGGGAACTTCTTTCTCTGGACATATTCCGTGACAGCAGGGTCAAAGTCCTTGGCGTAGCCTTCATTGAGACTGTAGATGTTCCCTTTCTTTTTGATCTTCACATCCTTGTCCACCAAAATGAACTCTCCAATGGCCTTGAAGACAAGAAAAGACAGTTGGCTAAGGGGACTTTCTACTGGGGAGAGGAGTGGGAGTCTGTCTGAGGTGTGCGTGGGGAAGGGCAGGACCTGAGGTCACACACACCTGGGGTCACTCCTCACCCTGAAGCACAGGTGATTCTGCCAACCTCTCCACTGCTTGTGGACAGAGAGAGGGAAGAGGGAAGTAAACTGGAAGGAGAAGAGGGCAGGCAAGAGGGGACTGCAGATGGTGTCAGATGAAAGAGACTTTTGACCTTGTTCTCAAATTATTTCAGTATAATAAGAAATAAACCATACAAAAATACAGCAGAAGTATGTAAAACAAACAGGCAAGCACAGGCCTAAGGGAGCCAAGCAAGATGTGCATGAATTTGCAATCAAAGAAGCTGGTGCAGAGGAGAGGTGGGGACTGGAGGGTGCTCAGGGATTGTCTTGGCCCTAGGATTTGATCTTAATGCAAATGTACTGTATGAATACTTTTGTTTTTACTGAGTTTTGCTTGTTGGCATACATGCCTTCAGGTGCCTTCTGTTACTGATGTGCAGTTTTTCTCCAGAAGGCTGGTGTTCTGAACACCACAACCCCCCCCCCCCCCACACACACACACCCATTATGGCAAAGTCTTTGGGGCTTGGGTGCTTTAGAGAAGGTTTGAATTTGTGGGGAACTAGCCCAAGGATGTTAAGAGCTCCCGTGTGTCATTGCTAAAAGACTGGTTGGAGCTTTTTTTGGGAGTGGATACCCCATCCCTACATTTCATCCTGCCATATAGTCCCACAGCAAAGACTGACCGATTCCTGCTCATAGGAGGGGGGAGGGGAGCTGTGGAAACTAAGAGGGTGGAGAGAAGGAAGGAGAAAGAAGGGAGGGAGGGGAAGAAGAGGATGAGGAGGGAAAGAGGAGAGAGGAAGGAGGGAGAGAATTGAGGCTAAAATGAACAATAGTCAGTGAATAAGGTGTCTTTGTGAATGATTCTCCTTTCTTTAATGCTTTGTGTTTTCAAAAATGTGGTCTCTGATATGCAGCAATATTCCTTGATAATCAATAAAACAAAACAAATCATTAAATGTCTTTACCAAAAAGTTTAGGAAACAGTGTCCCCTCTCACACAGGCCCTGCAGGCAGAGGAAACCACACCCCATGGACCCCTGCCCCGCAGACACTGCTACTAAGGTTGTTTTCATGCTTTAACCCTCAGTCTACCTTTGCAGCAAGACACAGGCAACAGGAAACACTCAGCATCTCCCTAAGAGGAAGCCACAGGCATTAGCCAGGAGAATCGTTTGAACCAAACAGAGTGAGGGCAGCCACCAGGGGACCATTACAACAGGCAGGCATTTTCCTTCAGAACACTTAGTGACCCAGAGGATTAGGGAAGGTAAAAGGCTATCAAATACAGGACACTTACTCCAGGAGACAGCCGTCTGCAATCTGTGGACAAGAAGAGATTGATTTTTTCGCCATAGCCATACTCTCAACGGGAACAGAGACGTCCCCAGAAGAAGCATGCCCTGCGGCTACAGTCAATGTTTCACTGGTCAGTAAATCCACAAACATCAGGGATTCGCAAATGGCACGTTGAGATCAAACTCAACTTCGCCCTGGCTCCTTCACAGTGTTTTTGTGAGGTCACCTCATTTGGGGCTTTGCCTGGTGCCATTTCTTTACCCTGGTTTATTTATTAAGTGTCCATACTTCCAAGGAGATGAAAGTCCAATTATGTAAGTGTGCACGAGACAAAGGTAGCCTGTGTTCTGACTTAGCCTACCTGCCTCTCACAGGGGATTCAAATTCACCATCTGTACCCTGTGTTCAGTTTGTCAGCAAAAATCACAGTGTAAATAGTTTCAGTCATGTCCCATGAGGACATTTCTACACCGAAAAGGAGTATATAAATCCAATTCTCTTCCCCTGAGGGCACTGGACCAAACACATATAAACAACATGCTGAAGTGTGAAAGACGATTCCTTTGGAGTCTGTTTTAATAGTGGGTCTTAAAAGCCACAAAGTTGCTACCAAATATTTCCAGAGATTTTCTCCCACTTTATCTGCCGTGTAGAAGCTATTATTTCTCTGAATCAGTAACGTTCACAGGGAAGGGATTACCCACAAATTAAAACTGCTATGGAATCTCTATAGTAAGGTGGCATTTCTCTGTCAGGGGGACTAGGGAATGTTCTTTATTTCATTTCCTTGAGTTCAATGCTGTCAGCACTGCAAGGGTTAACTGAAGGTTTGTGTGCAATGTATGTGTAGGATAAGCACTGGACTGTTAACCGTAAGGTTGATAGTTCAAACCCACCAGTCGCGCCTCAAAAACACTATGCAGGGTTTCTATGAGTCGGAACTGACTTGACAGCACTTAACAACAACATGTGACACCAAATCATTTGAAGTCTTTTTTTTAAAGAAAAAAAGAGATACCTATTGGGACACCCGCTCACATCTCAGGAAGATGACCATTAGATGAATAAAGCAGAGAGTTGAGTCACAGCTGTAGTCTAAGACCAAGGTGGCCATCAGCCAATCCATAGGCCTCAAATGGTCCTTAAATGCAGCCTAGTTAGCTACTAGCACAGTGCTGTTTGACTTTGTTTTAAACTTTTTATTATGGTGAAATAGATATCTCGGTGTTTGTCATTTCCACCATTTTCACATGTAAATTTCAGTGGCATTGCACAACATTGTACAACCTTCACCACTTATCTATTTCCAAATTGGTTCATTACTCTTAACAAAAACTCTATGACCTTTAAGCAGTAGCCACCTCCCACCCCCGTCCCTCCATTGCCTCTGGTCACTACTAATCTACTTTCTGCCTCTGTGCTTAGTCTATTTTAGAAATTTTATGTAAGTGGGACCACATAACAGTTGTCCTTTTGTATCTAACTGATTTCACTCAGCATAATGTTTTCAAGGTTCCTTCTTGTATGTGCATCTGGAGTTGGTTTGTCATTAAGGCTGAGCAATACTCCATTGAATGGGCATTTCACATTTTGTTTATCCATTCATCTGTTGATGAGTGCTTGGACTGTTTCCACCTTTGGGCTATTGTGAATAGTGCTGCAGAACACTGGCGCACAAGTGTCTGTTTGAGACTAGTACAGTGTTTTACAAATCTAGTAACATCCACATTTTAAATCCAGGGTTCCTTGGAACACTGGAAAGCCCTTTTCCAGTTGGGAGCCCCCATTTCTGAATAGTAACAATTGCTGGCCCTTTCCAATCCCCCACAGTCCATACCATGGTCCCTGGCCTGTCCCCACACATACAACTTATTTGTATGCCCTGTCTTACCCTTGTGGGCATTTGAGTCACTTGACAAATGTCCAACCTAAAGACACTCATCTTGGAACAAAGACACCCTCCTGTGTTCTGGACAGATGTTCTTTCTCACCTCAATGATGCTCTCATGAAAGATACATTGTCCCTTTATCTCCCCACCCTATCAATTATGTCCATCCGTGGACCTCAATTTTAACCTCTCACCCCCGACTCAATACACACACACACACACACACACACACACACACACACACACACAATTACAGCCTATAGTCAAGGAACCTAACTGCCCCCGAGATGTCTCACCGGGTCGAGCATGAAGCAGTTGACACCACATTCCATGGCCAGTACCAGCATGGTGGCACTGCCATAAAGGGCATACCCGGCTGCCACCAGATTCCGGCCTGGCTGAAGAGCATCCTTCTCAGATGGCTCACCCGTTGAAGTCTAGAGCAAGAAAGAAAATATGTTTTGGTTGGTGTGTTTTGTGGACTTTATGCCAATGAAACCATTAACAGTATGCATCACTAACTGTGGTACAGTGAATTTACTTGATATGGTTCTTTTATCCATAGTCTCTAACTACCACCAAATGATTGGGTTATTGTTGCTAACTGCTGTCGAGATGGTTCCAAGTCATAGCGACTCTATAGGGTTATTGGGGAACTGCTGTGGGTGTAAACTACCAACCCTGCAGGTCAAACTGACTTTGCAGTCCAGTGTTTATCCTACAGCACCACATCAGGACTCCAATGATTGAGTGGGACCATGAAAATAGGGTGCACAGGGCTTTAACATGAGGACTGTATTGGTTGGTTTTGTCATTCTGCTGGGCTTAAATTGAGCCATCTCAGAAGTAGGAACAGGGCATCTCACTACTATCAAGAGAGAAGCCAGGAGCAGAGCTTCCACACAAGATTTATGTGTGGAAAGATGACGGCAAAACAGAGAGATGGGGTGGTAGGCTTCTTGGCCCGCAGATGGAGAGTGAGGTTGAGTACCTGTGGGCCAGTGGCTTGCAGAACAGGCACCTCTTGGGCATTTATCGGCAGCATTAAAGGAGCTTTGTAACGCTTGTCTGAGCAAGGGTCCCAATGACTGAGAGGCGGTGGGCTAGAGGAAGGAGTGTCTGTGGGGGAGCTGTGAAGAGGTGCTCCTGACCAGAGAATGTCTGCATCAGGAGTTGTTTCTGATCCTGAATTGGACGCTGTTAACTTCCTTAATAAGCCCCACAATCATGAGTACTGTGAGTTCTGGGTGGCCATTGTAATGGATTATCGAACCCAGCAGAGAAGTAGAGTCCCATGAGAGGATGGCTGGTGTTCAGAATGAGGTTAGAAGGTGGGAAGGCGGAGGCATGTCTGACCTCCACTTCATAGGAATCAGCCTCGGGCTGATGCTGATGGAGATGCCCCTCCTCTCTCCCCACTTGTGAGGTCCAAGGAGATCAAACATGGATGGCCTCCACACCATTTTTCCACCAAGGTACCACTCTAATGAAGTGGTTCCCTGTCTGTCCTAAATGCTTGAGCACTTGACTACTAGTCAAGATGTTGGTGGTTCAAACTCACCCAGAGATGTCGGGAAAGAAAGGCCTATAGATCTGAATACTGAAGGGTCCCAGCCATAATATGACGCACAACTGTATTCTACAACACATGTTGTTTGTTGTTATGTGCCGTGGAGTCAGTTCCGACTCATAGAGACCCTGTACAGGGTTTCTGAGGCTGTAAATCTTTATGAGAGCAGAAAGCCTCATCTTTCTCCCACAGAACAGCTGGTAGTTTCGAACTGCTGACCTTGCAGTTTGCAGCCTGATTTGTAACCACTATGCTACCAGAGCTCCCAACACATGGGATTACTACAGATCAGAATTGACTCAAAGACAACTGGACCTGGGCCCCTAATGAAATAGGGTATCTTCCCAGAGGGATTTCACTCCGCACATCAGTAATATCCTGATTCTATTACCAGAGCAGCCTTCCCATCAGACCTCAAATTTCCTGCATTTGGATCTTTCTGTCCAATCTGAGACCTCCTCTAATTTTAATAATTTGATATTCCCTTATTTCTCCATTATCACATCCAGAAGGGAACAGGCCCTCTTGCCAGCTCCCACTAATTTTATCTTATTAGGAGCATCAATGTCTTTCACCTGCTTACTCTATCTTCAGTTAAACAAATTAACACAGGGCTGCAGGGCAGTTAGTCTGGTGAGGAAATCAATTTCATGAACTCTTGTCAATTGCAGTACAAACGCCACAGAGAAATGTGGTCCTTATCACTCACACATCAGAGATACCCTAGAAAATTCAGGAACTTAGATTATCTCCCCAGAGTTATTACAAGGTAGGGCAGATGCTTTCAAATTTTTCAACCATAACCCATAGGTTGGTTGAAAGAAATGGATCTTACCTTGCAAATCAGTACATGCGATGACAACAAATAATAACAAAATAATATTTATACATAGAACCTGAGATGCATTCTCATCTTTTATTTTATGGGATCAAGTGACCCAAAGTGTGCCTGATACTAGAGAAGGCAGCACCTTAAGGAGATGGCTCCGACTCAGTAACTGCTTACTGATCACTGTCTTCTTTATTAATATGTGACTGGCTCTGCTAGTCCTCAAAACAGCTCCCAAACAATTCTTTCAGCTTGATTACTTTTTACTTGAATCTAAACTTAAATGAAGATAGGAAATTTCCCCCACATTTCACTCATTTATTTTCCAATCAGAGATCGCAGCAGCTGATAGTAAAATGACTCCAAATCAGGGTGACCTTATGGACAACTAAACTAAACGCTATCGGCCTTGAATCATCTTCGTGATCACTGGCACTGCTATTGTGTAGTGTCTTCTAACCTTGAGGGCTCATCTGCCAGCACTAGATCGGACAATATAAATATTCTGTTGTAGTCCCTAGGATTTGCACTGGCTAATTTTTTTTTTTTAATGTTTTATTGTGAATTATGTGATAGTTTACATGGGAGAACATTAGCTTTACATTCATCCTATCGTATATCGTTTCATTGCCATGGTTATAATCCCCTCCATGCATCATCAACCAACCAAAGAGAATACCCTGCAAGCCTGACCGCCCCCCCATGCCCGGTCATCAGCACACAGACCCACAGGCCCTCTCCCTCTCTGTGTCTAAAGTCCCCAGCTGCTCCATCTCTCCACATCGTTGTCTCTGCCTCCATATCTGGTGTCACTGCTTCTCTGGGTAGGGTCCCGCTCTCCGCTCTTCTCCCTTGATGGTCCCAGTCAGGGACCTCCTGCACTGGCTAATTTTTGAAAGTAGAGCAACAGGCTCTGTCTTTCCCTAGTCTGTCTTAATCTGGAAGCTTTGCTGAAACCTTTCTATCATGGGTGACTCTGCTGGCATTTGAAATACCAGAGTCATAGATAGCTTCCAGCTTCACAGCACACAAACCACCACAGTACGACAAACTGACAGACAGGTGGGTGGTGGCGAGAGCTAGTCTTAGGGATCTAGGGCTACTGCAACACAAATACCACAAGCGAGTGGTTTTAGCAAACTGAAATTCATTCTCTCAGAGTTGAGGAGACCAGGAGTCGGAACTCAGTGTACAGGCTCTAGGGAAGGGTCCTTGTCTCCTTACAGCATCTTTAGGACCAGCATTCCTTGGAGATCTCCATGGGCCTCACTTCTCTCTCCTTCAATATCTCAAAATATAGTCTGGCTGAAGATACAACCGAATCCCGTAGGTTGCATCTGACCTCATTTACATCGTAGAAGTGAGGGTTTACAACACAGGATAATTACATGAGATTAGGGCTAACCACATTGGATCATATCATGGGGGAATTGTATCATGTTAGATCTCATCTTAACTACCTAACCACAGAGACTCCTGACCCAGCCAGGGTGACCCCAAACCATAACTGTCATAGCACCTTCATGATGAAGATAGATACATGGATCCTCTTAGCAGAAACATTCCAGACAACTGCTTCCTATAGCTTTTCAACCTGTAGCTCATAGACCTACACTTGGGATATTTATTCAAAATACAGTTCTGGGACTATACCCGATGTATTAAGTCAGAACCTCTGAGGGTGCATCCTGGGAATCTGCATTTTGCCATATACCACAGGTGAACCTGACACTGAAGTCAGATCAACTACCTACCTAAAAGGTAAACTCAACAAAAACTCTCTCTTCTTTGGTTCCCCCATTCACACACTATTTAATAAATTATCTTTATCTGGTTGGTTGGTTCGTTGGTTGGTTAGTGGTTTGGTTCGATTTGTGTTCACATGATAGTGCAGTGCAGCTAAATAAACTAGACAGAGAAGCAAAATTTTGAGTTGTTTTTCCAAACTCCAAATTTTGCCTATGCACATCCTTTCTTTGCCAAGTGCAGAAACTTGTTGGAAAACCATATTAAAAACCACCAGTTTCCTTCAAAGCCAGTTGCATAGTGGGATGACTAAAACCTATAACTCTTCAATAGAGGCTTCCAGTAACCAGTTTTCCACCAAGAACAGTCCCCCTGAAGTGGGCCTGGACCACAGCCATTCATGCTTGCCTGTAGCAAAGTTGCAAGCATAAATAATTTTCTCCTGAAATCTTGTCTCCAATCTTATATTCAACATCCTTCATAAAATAATAGTAACATTTGTCTATGACTCAAGTACTCAGAAAAAAGAAAATAATTTCATTGAATCAGGTTTGGTGTTCCAACCTGACCTCTTCTAATGCACAAATTCCCACCTCCAAGCCCCCAGCAATGCCTTTCCCTCCAAGAAAACCCATTCTGTTCTCATTCAGATGACAGGAATGAATTAATGGACAATAAGCACTTGGCAAAAAACAGGAACCCTCTGGACTCTCCATTTCTCTGCCTACCCAAAACCAACTTGATGGCACTTAACAGCAACGATTTTTGGTTAAGTTCACACATCAGATGTCTTTCTTTGCTACAAACCTCTCGAGCTATACTATAAATTTGAAGCTTTGTGGGTAAAATGATAGCCCTACATGTCTGCAGTAGGAATGGTATGCTTCATGGTGTGACTTGGAAAATACGTGAATTGTTGCCATTGTTTTTCCTGGTATGAGAATTAGAAACGCCTGGTGGTGTGAAGGTTAAGTGCTTGGCTGTGGTTCAAACCGACCAGCTACTCTAGTATGTTTCTGTAAGATTTTACAGTCTTGGAAACTGCCTATGGGGAAGTGCTACTCTGCCTTATGTGGTCACTGTGAGTCCACGACACTAGGTTTGGTTGTTTGTTTTAGGTAGGGGGCATGAATGGTTCTGTTCAGCTGCTAACCTAAAGGCTCTCGTTTCTAACCTCCTCAGTGGTGCTACGGAAGAAGAGGCCTGGGCATACACTTCTGCAAAGATTACAATCAAGAAAGCCCTAGGAGGCAGGTCTATTCTGCTCACATGGGTTTGTCATTGGTCAGAATTAACTCGATGGCAACTCACAAGAACAACACCATTACGCAAAGTAGTGCCTGGTTAGGCATCTGGCTACAACTGAAACGTTAGAGGTTCAAGTCCACCTTGAGGCATTTCAGAAGAAAAGCCTGGCATCTGCTTCCCAAAGATCACAGCCAATAAAAATCCTATGAAGATAGCTCTGTTCTAACATACACGTGGCCACCAGAAGTTGGATTCAAGTTGACAGCAACTGTGTTTTTAATTACTCCAGTTGATTTTGATGTGTGATGTCACTTATCCAAGACAAAAGCAAAACGCATCCCAATGACCTACAGGGTCTCATTTTTCATCTGTTTAAAAGGAAAGTATGTACAATACTAAACAATAAGTCATTTTAAAAATAAAGTGCAAATTTGGATCTATCTCACTTTGTAAACCTTTAAATAACACAACAGGGGAGTTGGGAGAGACCTCAGAGTTCAGTTCAACCAAATGCTTCATCCATCAAGAGGCTCAGCACCAGGCAACCTAGTAAACTGTATCTGGGAGGTTTCATTTCTAAAATAAACAGGAGCTGAAGCCAAAATGAAATGTTTCAGATTTTATGAAGACTTATGATGGGTTCACGGACATTCATTCTCTTTTTCCTTTGTGTATGTACTTGAACATGCACTAACACACTAGTTAGTTTCTCTCTCTCTCAAACACATGTGGTTACACACAAAAATATATATGCACATACATGCATCTAGACACACATAAATATATATGCACACACATGCATCTAGACACACACACATACACAATTACACAAATATATGTACTCTCAGATATCTATATACACACAAATACATATGCACTCATACATATGTTGTTGTTGTTACATGCTGTCAAGTTGGTTCCAACTCATAGGGTTTCCAATGAACGAATGGAGGGTTTGAACCACAGACTTTGTGGTTAGCGGTTCAGTTCCTATCCTATAGTGCCACACCAGGATTCATACATCTATGTTGTTGCTGTTGTTAAGTGCCGTTGAGTCGGTTCTGACTCACTGTGACCCAGTATGGGGTTTCTGAGGAGTGACTGTTGACTTTGAACTGCCAACTTTGTGGTTCAAACTGACCTTGCAGTCCTGCACTTATCCTACATGACATCTATAGACACACACCTATACATATGCACATACATATATCTCTACACTCACATAAAGACATGTACCCATACACAGATAGCTACACATGCACACATACACATATACATTTAAAGACAAAGAAGGTAGAGTGACTTGCAGAGATCACCCAGGTGGAAGGCCCAGGACAGGAGGCTGGGTCCTCACCCTGCATCACTCTACTTAGACTACATCCATGACAGAGCTGGAGTCGGCAAGGTTTATCCAGAAAGAGAAAGAGGGTAAATATTCCAGGCTTTATAAATGACACAGTCTGTGTTACAGCTACTCAAGCCTGCCATTGTAGCATGAAAGCAGCCAAAGGCAATATATAACAAATGAGCATGACTGTATGCCAATAAAACTGTATTTATGGGCACTGAAAATTAAATTCCATAAATTTTTCATGAGTCATAAAATACTATTTCCCCTACCATTTAAAATGTAAGATGGCTAGTCTTTGCTTGCAATTACTACAAAATCAGGCAGCAGGCTAGTTTTGGCTGATCCCCAATTTAAAGGATTTAAAGGACTATTTTGAAATAAGCAATCTCAACTTCTGTCAGATGTTCACGAATTTCAGTTCATGTAGTATCATTGCTCTAGTCATCCTATTCTATCTCTTTAAAGTATATACATATACAATTTCCATCATAAAGAAAGCAAAATTTAATCAAATATACAGCATATTCTCCTCATATCCACATTTTACTATTGCATTTTCTTTTAATAATTCAGTGAGTCTCCATTTTTGTTGGAATTAATGTTGGAAATACCAGAACGTGAGTTCTTCATTTATTTCCAGTCTCACAGTGTTTCATGACTCTACATTCTGGCTGCGTCACACTATGGAGATGGCACTGCATGCTCAAACTTCATACAGACACTTGATACATCACACTTTACCTTCCTGTAGATGCCAAAAATGCTTCCAATGGACACAAGACAATCAATGTTGGAAGAACCATCAAGGGGATCAAAACAGACCACGTATTTACCCTAGAGCAAAGAAAGAAGAAATGTGACTTTAGTGTAAAATAAACATACTATAATCCGATCCAGGGTATGCACCAAGGGTTACCAGTGGGAATCTAGGAGAACGTTCAAGAATATAGGCCTGTACTCTGTCACAGAAGATATGAGGTAGCATATCCCCCCCAAAACACCAAACCCACTGTCTTCTAGTCTATCCTGACTCATAGCAACCTTACAGAACAGAGTGGAACTGCTCCTAGGGATTCCCAGACTGTAAACAGCCGTGTCTTTCTCCCAAGCATGGCTAGTGGGTCAGAACCACTGACCTTGCAGTTAATAGCTCAATGCTTACTCCACTGCACCACCAGGGCTCCTTATGAGGCAATATATGGGGGAGGTATATATATGGAGGTATATATATATATAGAGAGAGAGAGAGAGAAAGAGAGAGAGAGAGAGAGAGAGAGAGAGAGATATGTGTGTGGGAAGTATGTATATATATGGAGGATATATATATATATATGTGTGTGTATGTGTGTGTGTGTGTGTGTGTATACCTCCCCCCATATATTGCCTCATAAGATATGGCACTATGAGATAAGAAGTGGACCTCAACGTTGGTTTTAATAGCAATGTCGGCAGTTCAAACCAACCAGTCACTTCTTGGAAACCTTATGCAGGATGGCTCTGAGTTGGAACCAACTTAATGGCATTAACAACAACAATAAACAATAAGCAGTCCCTGGGTGGGTGGATATGAAGCAAAGAGGGAGTCAGAAGACACCAGGTTCTAAAAAGCCTTCAACGTGACAACACAGTGAGGACTAGAGATGAGTCCTCGGGCGAGCTGACCATGCGTGAGCCTGCTGACATGAACCACAAGGGCGGGCAGAGTTGAGATTTGACAGGTAGGTGAAATCTGTGAAATGCTCACAGATGTGGTTCAGTAGAGATCTAGGGTAGTTCCTAGGAATCCAGCCTGGATGAACAAGTGGAGTCATTTATGAAGACAGAAAGAAAAAGGCAACAATAAAACAGACCCACCCTTTTGTCAGCTTCTACTATGATGGCGTTTTTATTTTCTTCTGACACTAGAACACAAGTAGCAAAGGAGGACTTTAGCATGTTAATAACCAGGTCATTGGAGAGGACATCCAGTTTCTTAACTTGATCACCAGTTACGTTTGTAGAGCCAGCGATTCCATAGCTAGAGGGAAGGAAACCACAGAAACATCAGCCATGATTACCCAAAGATGGAGGCAAATCCATACACTACTGAGAGTTGGTGCGTGGCGGGATTTGGGAGATAGTGACAGAGACACGTAGTTTGGAAGTCACTACACACTTAGGATGGTAGTCCTGTAGAGAAGACAGGATGCCATTCACCTTTTAGCCCAGTACCCAGCATGCCTTTGTGGCTAATTCAGTATGGCTAAACCGTGTGTTTTTTTTCTCCACCCCCACCCCCACCCCACTATAGTCCCCCGCTAAGGAATCTTTTCAGGAAGCCCTTGGGACAGTCGAACCTACCCAAAGATGCCTTGGAAGTTCTGGCAATCAATTTTGTAAACCTAATCATGCAAGTGAAACACTATGGGACACCGTTTTACTCTGCAACACATGGGGGTCCCTTTGAGTCAACTCGATGGCAAGTGGTTTAGTTTTTTTTAAGGAGCCTTTTTAGACTTTTTTTTTTTCCTAATTCATCTCTGAGGAACCTTGGTAGCACAGTGGACTAAGAGCTGGTCTGTTAGCACAAGGTCAATAGTTCGAATCTACCAGTCAATCCTCAGGAGAAAGATGAGGCTTTCTCCTCTCATGAAGATTTACAGCCTCAGAAACCCTATACAGGGTTGGAACCAACTTGGCAGCATTTAACAACAGTATACTATATATCTGGCTATATGCTATATCTGTATGTTTATGTGTTATACATAAAAATAATCATTTATGCATTATACATAAAAAAATTAATTTTTTTTATCCCCTCCAAGAACTAATTTTTGTCCCTGAATGCATGGATTAAATGAATCAGCTAAGAGACATAGCAAACAAGGAAATCTATGTTGGAGTGAGCCCAAAGCTGTGGGCTAAAGCAAGCGAGCTTCTGGTTTCACAGCTGAGAAGATCCTAGCCCTTGGTTGCTCCCACCTCTTCATTTCATAGAGGGGACAACTTAAGTACAGAGGCACCAATGACTACCAGGCCAGGGATTCTTTGTGATATCCCACCGCGGCCCCTGGCTGGAGTCCTCAGATGTGGAAGGGTGTGTCACTGGAGTTTTTACCCATTTTCAAGGTATCTGCAAGTCATTCATTATAGGATTACCATAACCCAAGTGCCTTGACCAAAATGCAGCCTGGTTTGTTGGAATGCAGGAAGGGACAGGTTGTCAGAGCCTGGGTTTGAACATACAGACATGGGAAATGGTTTAGCGAAAGGATGCAGAGGACAAGATGCAAGACCATATGTGGGAAGGGAAGGAGAAAGAGGGTTGAAGATGCTCCCAAGAACTGAAAAGGGTCAGTAAGGGCCCATTGGTGCCCTGGGCTGAGATTCTGGAGAGAGCTGACCGGCCCAGACTCCTGAAAATGCATTCTCTCTAACCCAAATGCTTCATCTAGCCTGGCACACTCGCCATGAAGTAGCTGCAGCTGTCTCGGCCTAGGTTTTCAACATCATTGCTGTTACCGCTCGGAAAGCAGCATCTTGTCCTCCAGCCGTCTCTCCTGCTTCTCTTCTTTTTTACCTGGTTATCCATTCTCTTTCTACATAATCTCTTTCTGACCTCAACTGTGAAGTCAGTGCTGGGAAAAGGAGGACTGGCCCACAGTGGAACTATTAGGGCTGTGTAGGGCCCACCACCACCAATGCATTCCTTCCCTGTTACCGCTCCTGCATAGCTGGAGATGGCTACCATTAAAGACACTAGTGATAAAGGAGGGAAAACAATATTCATGGAAACAAACCTCTAGTGTGAAACAGACCTGGTTCACATCTCAGCTCTACAAGCTCTTCCTCCCTTTGACACTGTCCAATGAGGATGGTGATATTTATACCTCATGGGACTGTTGAAGGATTGCATGAGATCATGTACACATAGATTCCCTGGCTGGTACAACATGCTCAGCTGCTAACCGAAAGGTTGGTAGTTCAAGGCCACCCACAGGTAACTCAGAATAATGTTCTTGTGATTGAAAAACCAGCCATTGACAACCCTACAGAGCACAGTTCTACTCTGACACACATGGGGTCACTATGAGTCAGGGTTGATTCCACCAACAAACAACTGGTTGTAGTTTTACAAACTATATTAGGAAGTGAGGTCTGGCTGCCTGGCAGTACTGGAACCCGGGAACCCAAGCCAGAGCACAGTGCAAAATTTCATGGTACTTTTAGGCACATGTGAGCTACCACTGACTTTCAACTCATACCAGTCCAGAAAACCCAGGGTATTTAATTGTCATATAGTCAGCTCTGGTAGCGTAGTGGTTACGAATTGGGCTGCGAATCTCACGGTCAGCAGTTCGAAACTACCAGCTGTTCTGAGGGAGAAAGATGAGGCTTTCTGCTCCCGTAAAGATTTACAGCCTCGGAAACCCTGTACAGGGTTGCTATGAGTCAGAACCAAATCCACGGCACATAACAACAACAACAACAACATAGTTAGTTAAAGTTAAGGAATTTCTTGAGACTAGAAAGAAGAACAAGAATGGTGAAACACTAATGAGCTAGCATTTTATATTACTTAAAGCTCATTCTAAGAAGCTCTGGTAGTGTAGTGGTTACGAATCGGGCTGCGAACCTTAAGGCCAGCAGTTCGAAACTACCAGCTGCTCCGCGGGAGAAAGATGAGGCGTTCTGCTCCCGTAAAGATTTACAGCCTCGGAAACCCTGTACAGGGTCGCTATGGGTCGGAACCGACTCAACGGCACTTTGCAACAACAACAACAAAGCTCATTCTAGGTTATATCTTGATTTGGTGGAGGTGGTAGTTGTGTGCCATCAAGTCAGTGCCAACTCATAGCAACCCGTATAGGGTTTCTGAGGCTGTAAATCATTACAGGAGTAAAAAGTCTCATCTTTCTGCCCTGAAGCAATTGGTAGACTCAAAATACTGACCTGGTGGTTAGCAGCATAGCTTGTAATTCATCAGGGCTCCTTATATCTTGATTTGTTTATAACAGAAATGCAATAATGAGTCTAATATATTGAGTCCTGGCACAGTGCTGCAGGATAAAACACTGGACTGCAAAGGTGGTTTGAACTGCAAGGTTTGCGATTCACTCCTCAGAAGCCCTACACAGGGTTACTATGAGTTGGAACTGACTCAATGGCACTTGCCAACAACAACATATTAGGTACTTTTCCTTTAAAGTTGTTTGTTTAATGGGAAAGGCAGAGCTGATTAGAGTGGGTTCTCTTGTAGCCCTTGGCATATATGTCACCATTTAATAGATTCTGGGAGGTGCAAAAAGTTCATGTGCCCACTTTCTGACTAAAAGATTGGAGGGTTGAGTCCACCCAGAGGAGCCTCAGCAGAATAGCCTGGTGATCTTCACCAGGAAAACCATTCATTGGAAACTCTATGGAGCACAGATGTGGTCTAATGCACATGGAGTCCCTGTGAGGTGGGACCAACTTGACAGCCATTGGCTGTGGAGAAATAAGCCACAGCATCGGGAAGGAGCTCACTCTTCTCTCTTGTCTTGGCCTGGGAAATGCAAACCTCTCACCTGGCTTGGGTGGTTTTAGAGGGATGAGGTCTAACTCGGGGACCGGAAATTGCAGCTGCAAACATGATGCCAGGGGCCTGGGCAGTGTTTTCTGGAACTAGTACCAGCATCAGGGAGTTTCCTCCCAGCCAGAGAGGCCCAGGAGTATGCATGGCACTGAGGCATGATGTCTGTGGGACACTGGCCTCCTGGCCTAGGTTCTTTTTGTTATTGTTGTTGTTGTTAAGTGCTTTCAAAGTCCATTTCAACTCATCGTATAGGGTTTTCAAGGAGCTGCTGGTGAGTTTGAACTGCTGACTTTATGGTTAGGTAGGGTCCATTCTTTCCTAGGAGACCCTGGGAGGCAGGGAGCACACTTGGCTGCCATCCCTGGAAATACTATCAAAAACTTTGATAACAGAGGACTTTGCCCAATCTGCTCTACACAAGATGCAAAGAGTAGAAATTCTCTGACTCCTAATGGCTCACCCACTGGGCCCACCTGAGGATAATGAAGAAACCCAAGCAGGCTTCTGTTAGAATCTTACGGCAGCCCAATGGTTTCTGGAGTTAATTGATGTTGAAGCCCAGGGCACGCAGGGACCATTGTGTACTCTTCTTAGTGTATACCATGGGGTTGCTTTCAACTCCCAGCAACCCTGTATGAAAGAGTGGAACTGCCCTGTTGTTGTGAAGTGTTGTTCAGTCAGTTTTGACTCAGAGCAACCCTGTAAAGAGTTTCTGAGGCTTTGAGGCTTTAAATCTTTGCAGACGCAGAAAAGCCTCATCTTTTATCTCACAGAGCAGCTGGTAGGCTCGGACTGTCAACTTTGCATTTAGCAGTCCAGTGCTTATCCTACAGAGCTGCCATGTCCCCAGAACTACACTGTTGTTAAGTGTCATAGAGTCAGTTCCAACTCATAGTGACTCTGTATAGGTGTCTGAAGAACGACTGGTGAGTTTGAGCTGCTGACCTTGTGGTTCAAACCAACCTTGTGGTCCAGTGCATTATCCTGCAGTGTCAGACCAAGACTCCCAGAACTGCACTTCTTGTTGTTAAGTGCCATCAAGTCAGTTCCAACACATAGCAATACTGTATAGGGTTTCCAAGGAGTAGCTGGTGAGTTTGCACCACCAACCTTATGGTGCTAATGGACCTTGCCATCCAGTGCTTTATCGCACAATGTCACGCCAGGATTCCTAGAACTGCACTTGTTGTTGGTGTTAAGTGCCATTGAATCACTTCTGACCCATAGTGAACCTGTATAGGCTTTCCAAGGAGCAGCTAGCGACCTTGAATCATCAACCATGTGGTTCAAACCGACCTTACAGTCCAACGCATTAACCCGCAGCACCACACCAGGACTCCAGAACTGCACTAGAGAGGACTAAAACTGTTATGCATAGTTGTCACAGAGGGACATATGTACGTATCTCTGAAGGAGCAAACATGTATCAACTCTTGTGTCTGAAAAAGAGAATAATGTTTTCA